AGAGCCGCTTTGTGTGGTGCGTTTATTCTGCAGACGTGAGATGCGTGAAGCCAGCCGGAGACTGCATGCTCCAATGATGGATATATCTGTATTGGGGTCGGATGAAAACTGATACTTATAAACTGTACATGTATTTTTTTAAAGAATAATGATTTATCAAATTGAAGTTTTTTAAAGCAAGAGATAAAGCAAGTGTCTGACTTATTTTAGATATTTTAATACAATAATATGTTAGAATATAACGCAAACATAAGGTAAATAAACTGTTAGGAGAAAATAATATTAAACAACCAGATTTTTATGTAAACAATTTTACTAAAATAACCCTTTTAAGAAGTCAGGTAAAGATACAAGAAGAAAATAAGCTATGTAAACTAATCTCATATGTAGGATACATTTTACTTTGCAGGATCGGTCAGTGGGCCGCATTTTTCCCACGCTGCAGTATTAATATTTGAGCGGATATCTCGGCGCTCGGCGCTCGGCACGCAGCGCGCGACAAACAACGGATGATACGATTTGAACCGTGCCCAGTTTACTCTCCAGCAGGGCTGCCAAAAGTTACGTAGATAATAAACCAAAACTAGGACAGCTCGACGATGCAAAATTTTAAGGACGATTTTTCAAATGAAAAATGTAAACGTCACTTTTAATTAATGTATTACAGAGTATCCGAATGTATAATATTTTAGGGACTTGACGTCGCTCTGGCGTTTTTATTACAATATTTCCCAAAAATTTTGTATACGAAGATGAAAAAAGTAAAATTGTGGAATATTATTTAGACCGCTTTAGTTTGCTTTGATTTTAAAACGGAAAATAAACAGAACAAGTCTGTAAATATTTTAACTTCAAAAGTTGGACTATTTGTTGTATCAAGACAAATAACCTTATTGTCAATATAAAAAGTCAAATGTCGGTTTTAAAACTCCCATTTTTGATGAAGACCTATGACATAATAGAATGACTTAACTGTTCCCACATATACCGTAATTATTCATGCATGAGGAAAAAGCTACGATTGGCTGGACTTTTATTTTAAAATAATACTGCTAATAAGAATGCCAGTAAACATAATTTCGTATTTGTATACGTAAAAAATCAAAGAGCGTAAAGGTGGCTCGTTAGTTATGTGTATTGACCCAAGTAATAAGAAGAACCTCGGTACTGTACGACTGTGACAATATAATTATCCATTTAAAGTTTATCTCTTTATTATTTTTTGTCTTCACGTACTCTTTCTTGCTAGATAAATGGAAAAGTGTGACTCAATTCTTCGATTTTTGCTTCTCATTCCTGAATTATTGCGTTTGAAGCGTAGTTTCACCTCATTGTTTGGTTCGACCCAAATAAAGTTATAGGCAAAAGCTGCATTTTAGAAATTGAAGTCAAAATCTAATTTGAGGAAGCACAAGCATACTTTTCAATTGAAACAAGAGAGATGGCAACCCTGCGTTACGTTGAAAGAGTAATGGGCAAAAGTGGACTGAACATCACTCTACACCAAATGTATGGGACTCAAAATCTGATTAAAAAGCAATGCCGGCTGGGATACTTGTTTGATGTCCTCTGAGGTTTTTATTATGCAAAAGGCTTATGTTCATATCAAATCCTATAATACGATTTCTGTACCTTGTATTATTTACTATCAAAGTTTATTCCTTTTATGTTCTTTTATTCTATTGATAAAATAACTTAGCGCTTATAATATCATTGTATTATATTCGATTTACTAATTATATACGTACGCAGTGGTAGCTCAGTGGTAAAGCGCTCGCTTGGGAAACCGAACGAAGCGGATTCAAATTCCGGCTCTCGCACCTCTGATATTTTCATGTGACAGTTATTTCTATCATGATTACCATTGCCTTATGGTGAAGGGAAACATCGTGAGGAAACCTGCATGTCTGGGAAAATCTAGGAAATTTTCGAAAGACATGTAAAGTCCGCCAACCCGCACTTGGCCAGCGTGGTGGACTATGGCCTAATCCCTCTTGTATTGAAAGGAGGCCCGTGCCCAGCAGTTGGACGTTAAAGAAGGGCTGAATAAATAATTATATAAATAAATATGTTGGGACATTAACACTCAGCACCATCTAGTTCCATGGTTAGCTACGAGGCCTGCGTTATGGATACTAGATAGTTGATACACTACACATATGTATATAACGTTTTAAATACATAGATATTTTAAATATAAATACCCATGACTGGAGTACAAACATTCATATTCATCACACAAATGTGTGCCCCCAGCGGGTCTCGAACCCGCGACCGCTGGCATAGCAAGTAGGGTCACTATAAACTAAGCCAAACGTGTCGTCGTTTAAGTACAACCAATATTTAAAATAATAATAATAAAGCCAGCCACGCCTTAGCTTCATTGGGATAAATATTTTTTCAATGATGAAACTCCCAAGATGCCATGTATACCAGCTTCTTTAAAATGTACTAAAATTCTGTAATATGTACTTTCAAATTATGTCCTATCTAAAAATGCAGAGAGGACAAGTACGAGGAGTCAAGATCTAAGTCAAGCTCCAACAATCCTAATTTTTTCCAATGTCATAATTCTTTTTAAGTATAAAAACTTTCCACTTTACAGTCTACCTTTCGGCTTCCATCTTTCAGTTTAGATAAGTAAATCAGGTTTTTTAGCTAAGTATATTTATAAATTTAAAACTACATTTATATACACATTATAAACTTTGACTCGCGATTGCGCCACTCATTCAGTAAATGCGTTCTTTTGTAATATTTATGCTTAAAAAATTGTGGAACAGGAAGTACTTTAACTTTTAAGTCCCTCTTGTCCAAATCCTTTATCTATTAGCAACAATCTTTTTAAAATTGGTTTAGGCTGAATATAGATTACTTTGTACAAACAGATAGAAAAAAAATGGTTGTTTATAAACACAGACATATATTTCAATTTTATGTATCAGTATAGAATAAATAATAATTTTATTTCATAGTTAAGAGCAATCGAGTGAGCCACACAGTACACACAAAACTAAAGTCGAGTTTAGTGAGTTTTGTTGGCAAAATGTGCTTGCATTTGAGTTGTGGGTGAAGTAATAAAGTGTACTTATTAGACCGGTGGCGGGGCCTGAATAATTGAGGCGCTGTTAGAAATAAGCCGCTAGCATTAGAGCTACATTACGCATGCATGGAACTCGGCCGTATTGTCACCGCGGGTGCCATCCTGCAGCACTGCAATCCTCACCCTTACCACCTACACTATAAAGATCATATTATGAAGTGCTAAAGAGCGCGCGCATAATTTTATACGAGGATATCAGCTCATTTCCATACGGAATATACTTACTTTTTAGACGGTCTCGGATTGCTTTATTTGTTATTGTTAATCTTTACACTTTTTGAGAAAGATAAACGTTGTGCATTATAAAAGTGGTATAGAAATTTTGAACTGTTGTTGGTTTGAATTCATCTAGAAAATTGACTTATAATTAAAATTTGTATTGAAAAGAATGTTTGTGTACCAACTTGTTATACCTTACGCTCTCGTGTTGCGACATTACAAACAGTCACACATACAAAAATAACACTTATTCAATAACTCTTACTGCGAGTAAAATTACAATTTGCAATCTGCCAAGCTATTTTTATATGAAAACAATCATATGAGCTCATTAAAAATACGCTATTATGAGATAACAGATAAACTCTTAAATTTTATATTAAACATAGATTTTTGCAGATACATAATAGTTTCAAAGGCCATATAACTTTTATATTCCAGACAAGACTTCCCTAGGACAGTTTTTATAATAAATGAAAGCGGGTGAACGCGAGGGTGAAGTCTCCGGCACACCTAGGGGTGACATAACACCTATATTTCTAGATTTTATCTCCGTTTTTATGGAAGTCGGTTTATTATAATCTGTCCACTTGTAACCTAAGAGCCTTCAGGGAACACCACGGATAAAGGTTTTTCATCACGTTAAGATAAATCATAAGGAAAATAAATGAGTGTGTACAGTTTTTGTCTGCTTTGGATTTTATAAAAGTAGCATCTGCTGGTCACGCAGATGCTGTTATGTTTTGTCCAGAAGATCGTGTAATAAATAAGCATGAAGTATCGCAACAATAAAACAAGTCAAATAAGATCTTAATTTGCTATCGTTCAGAAATAATAATATAATCTATCTATTAGTTAATCCATGTTTGAATGATTATATTCATAAATAGCCATTCAGCTTCGTCCCCAGGTGATTCTTTAAATTGACATAACTTTTTTATTTATGAACGGATTGAAATAAAACAAATGCTAAATGTTAAGTGAAGCGTATCACAAATTATAAAAATACATTAATAAAAATCACATACAAATCGGTTTAGCCGTTTTTGTGACTAGCGCGCACAGACACACAGACAAACAGACAAAATAAAAAAAAATAATTGTTTTGTGTTCTATTGCGTTAATAAACACCTCCGATAATAGTTTTTCCTCAAATATCTTCCATTTACAGACAGCGATAAATTACACTTTTATTATATATATAAGTTTGGATAAAAATCTCATCAACATCGATTTTATTGTATTTTTTTAAATATGTCTCTCATATTTGAGTACTATTTTAGATATTTCTTTAAAATAAATGTGTAAAGTGCCCCGTTTAAAATGCCACTTCATTATAAATTCATCGTCGCAAAACTTATGCAGGTCGTTTATCACAAAGTAGTTGAACACCTATTTATTTAGCAAACATAACAGATTATATAGGTTCATAAAGTAACCAATATATCAAAATTGTAGTGGATCGATTTCATAATGCTGGTTCGCATGATTTGGGTAGTCTCATAAAAATAAAAAAAACCCTAATGATATATCATTAATTTTAAAGTCAGTGCACCCTATATAGTGTCATTTAAAAATTATTAATAATAGAATAAACCACTTTTAAGTGGTTATTATATTATTAATAATTTTTAAAGTTATATATTTTTACCCATAAATAGAATATTAGTGTACTTACAGTAATTATTAGGTATGAGGTCTGGTTCAGCATCATCGTGGTCGACAGTCTTCTCTTGCGGGGCGGGCGGTTTCCGAGGCTTGCGTCGTCGTCTCGCGGCGCGCCAGGCGGCGAGAGCTAGCGCGAGGGCGGCCCCCGCGCCTGCGACGGTGGCGCCCGCGGCACCCGCCGCTCCCGCGCCTAGGGCGCTCTCGGATGCTGTAGGAATAGGAAAAGTTGTGTAAATGGATGCTGTATGGTTTGTATTTGAGGGTTTGATTATCTATAATTGTTGAAAATGTTTGACATGAAATTATTCTAAGCCTTATAATGCGCTCAAATGTGGCCCACTCTCGCTTTGGCGTGGCTGTTAAGGACAATCTGAGGGAACCTAACTAGTTTTCGTCAAACGTGTGTCAAGTCCGAAATACCGCACTTGCCAATACGACCAGTCTCTATGGCTTGATGACTCTCGAATTGATGATAAGCTCATGTTCAGCAGTAAGACATTGTAGAAAGCTGAATTATTATATTATAAAACAATATTTTATGTTAGTTATGCATACATAGATAACGGTATTAAATGTACCCCTGTAAGTCTCGTTCAACATTAATCAAGATGAGAACAACAAAAACAATGTTCTGCAAACTGAGTGGATTTAAATAATTTTAAGTAAAACACTTTATATTAGACTGCGCCGTGCGCGAGTGAGCGGCAGCAAAAACAAAACTACGCTTAGATCCACAGCTATTTGCAAATCACCGCGCGTCGCACGTCGTCCGCCGCCGCGTCGCGAGCGTCGAGGCCCGCCCGGATTAGTTCCACATTCGTCACATAGCACTTTCGACTGTAATTGAAATACCGCACTTGGACGCGGAATTACATCCTTAATGGCTTTAAATTGTGAACACGACCCTTGTTGCTGTCGACTTTGTTTCGTAAATATTTTAAATTGGTGGAAGCAATTTGTTTGAGCGTGGTGTACCTTTTAGATGTTTTCTTTTCATGATTGTAAACGGACTACTAATATAAATGTAAAAGCTTGTATGTGTATGTATGTATGTTTGTTACTTTTTGAAACTGAAACTTTTGAATGTATATGAAACTGCAGTATACTAGCACTCAGGGATGCACCCGAGCGAAGCGAGTGTAGTTCAAATCGCTAGTATTTCTATAGAGAGGGAAAAATTTAATTCCAAAGTCTTTGGTTTAAATTGTAGAGGCAAGATAAAATTTATTTTATCAATAAATTTACATGGAAATTCCAATTGATTTAGAACTTTTAGATGAAACTTGAAAGGCCACATTCCTTTGTAAATCGACTATTAGCTTTTACGTAGAAGTATTTCATTACCAAATGATTTCCATGTACGAACGGATTGCCTTTTTTCCTTTATACTTGGGGTCGGATCGCGTGTCATTATCCAAACGTGTAGTGCACTGATCACCGACTTCCAAGCTGGTGGTGTTGGAATCGATTCTAGTTGGATAAAATATTCGTAGAAAGAAAAAACAAATATGAGTACATTATACCGATATATCCGAAAAAAATATCCATATTTTAAGCTCCTTATCACACACAGTTTTTATAATCGTTAATTTTTCCCTCTCCTTTATTGGAGTTCGGGAGTTATTTCCCGCGTGATATCAATTAGAAATCATCGAATCTTGTGTATTATGACCAGCCCGATTTTTATAATATGTCTTTATATACTCCGTAACATAAAAAGTGTAAGTAAAGGAAATACGAGAAAAAATTTTTATGCCATCAACAATTTCACACCAGGATGCGCCAACACTCCTCAAAATATTAGGTGTTATACAAAATTATAGAATTTGGCAATTCCATTAGTAAAGACAAAAGACATTTAAGCAAAACAACTGTTCGGAGTTCTAGCGATATCTCATCGGAAGCTGCGCCATTACGGCGACCTAATTACGAGGGGCTAATTAAAATTAACACAGTCGAAGAAAGCCCTTGCAATTCAAGTGGGTCTGCGAATACGAGTGCTAGTACCGAGTTGGCTACTTTTGTTTATTGAGATGTGACGCCATCTGCTTGCGCCACTGCGCCGGACACCCGCGTTATTAAAGCGACTTGCTCCTTACAACTTCTACAGCTTTGTTATTTTTGTTCAAGTTATGTTATTTTTGTTCGAGTTAAAAGTTTTTTCTTTCTTATTATATAAGTGTATTCTAACTATGACAATAAATTTTACTGTTATAATTAATTGCATATTATGGGGGTTCAGATTTGGAACGTCATGAGAAAGCTGCTTTTGTCAGACACAGTTTAACATTACAGTAAAAAAATATATTAAATCTAGGTAAAAACAAATGTAACAAATAAGAAAAGCTTTAATAATGCTTTCCTTTTTGCTTCACATCACACGAGTACACCTTGCTTCATATAGCTTTGAGGGAACAACGGTAACACAAATGTTGATACAAACGTACGATCGAGGCCATAGAACATTTCTATGAACCTAACATTTAGTTTGTTATTTGTTATTCCACTATTGGATTCTGATGCCTGAAGTGAAAGTTCTACGGTATACTGCAGCATGTATGGCTGCAGATCCTGAGGCAGTATATTTAGACCAAGTTAATTTTCTATAAAAAAGTTGAACAAATACTTAAAAAGTATTTTCCCATGCGATTTTGAGAGTGAAATGGAATATAGAGTGCACGCACTCGTGTCTGCGCGTACACTTGTTTGTCCGCTTTGGTTAGTCTTAGGGAGATTAGCAACCGTGGCCGAAATCAGTCAGTATCACATATACATATCTATAGTTTATTTTAATTTTATATCGCAGAAGACTCAAGTACTTTCATTTTAACAAATTATTTTTTCTGCATTAAAAAAATAAGTGCAAAACTATATTTTTATACCCTAGATTGATTTTAAAATTAAATTAAATCTATATATGGAATAGATACGAATAAATAAATAAATAAATAAATAAAGTAATAAGAGCCTAATACTTGATAGCATTAAATGATCATATTTAAACGAGGCGAGCTGCTCCGAGGCACAGCCGCACATCTCAAGCTGTGTAATCCATTGAGCTAATGAGCGTAAACTCATCGTATAAAGAGTGTTTGAAATGTGAAGTAAATTAATTAACCAGCACTCACCCTCCGAGCCTGTCTTGTCATATTTTACCATAATTAATATAGACGTAGACAAGCCTTAGCAGGCGATTTCATCCTCGTGTATATATTTTAGGCAATAAACAATAAATAAGACTCTCGCTTCATTGTAGCATAGAGAGCTCGAACTTTTTATGTTAATTTATTTGACTGCTTAAATTATCCCATGAGTAGATTTTTTTCAGAAAGATCCAAATTTATATTAGAAATCGACTGAAATTAATCGACTTAAATTATAAATTTGTCTTGTGTTACTGATTCAACTGTGTTTTAATTTTGAAGCTAGATCCAAAACTTTACTGGAACTCCCATCGCTATATCACTTACATGTAAACCCAGTTCTGCCGTCGTTGCAGTCAAAAAAGTTAGGCAACTAACTGACGTGACGTGATTTTTTTATTATTTCCATAGTTTCTTATATTATGGGATTCTAATTTGAGACAAATTCTGCAGAAATCAATTTGATATTTTATTCTAAAAAATAAATAAGCTGATGTAAGAGCTCACGATCCCTTGCGAGACTGTATAAGGCATTTACTTATGTGACCTTGGCCGATAGGAATGTTTTTTAACAATAAAATAAAGAAAGGGCGCGGATATTCATTTGTTTTCCCGCGCTTTTGCACAGAGATGTCGATACCACCATGTAGTGACTAGGCACGAATAGTTTGTAATACTGAAAATTATGATTATAAATTATGCAACTCACTGACGATTATAAAAGTACTGAATATAAGCAAGGAATATCTTGAAGTTTTATTAGGGACCCAACAATATAAAAAAACGGGACATGTTATAATGCACAAACTTATATGTGTGGAAAAACAACTATAATCCTTTCACTGTGAAACTCCCGTGGGACAACATTTTGACATGACCGGTGAGAGATCAAGCGCAGGGCTGATGGCTTAACGTATTCTCCATGGCACTGGGGTGAAACACTGCCAACATCCTAACTCAAAGCTGACCACACATTTCGTATTAGAAAAATCTAACAACTTGGACCCAACTAGGGCTCGAATCCAAGTACCACGCAGTACATGCAAATGATTAGATCTATAAGGCACATGCGTTATATATATTGTATACGTGAAATTATTGTATTTGGAATAGTTCTACAAAGATATTTTTTCAAAATGGTTTTTTAATCAATTTAATTTCAAATTAATTATTAAAATCGGAAAAAATATATTAAATTTATTGCAGTCGCATACGATGACTATTTAGCCCTCCGCGTCGTGTCCGCGTCGTGTCCGCGTCGTGTCCGCGTCGTGTCCGCCTCGCACGCTGCATGCATATTAAACAGCGGCTGTTAACGGTATTATCTTATGGAAAAATAAACATTTTATTTAAAGCTGGAAAAGATTTAATTTATATACAAGGTAAGTATTTATTGACAGCCCTATAAATTCAATCGACCAACATAAGTTCAATTTATTAGAACTATGATAGACATGGATACATTTTAATTTTTTTTTTAATAAAATTATAGTTTAATGCGTTTCGTAAACATTAATGATGTTTACTTAGTGGACTTTAAAAGCTTAAAAAACAAAACGAAAGCTCTAAATAGTCTAAATAGAGCGTCATATACACGGAAAACGTTTTACACGAATAGATATTCTTAAATTTCACGTAATTTGAGCTCGAGTGAGCACGTTACAACCGCAACTGTGAATGGATTAAAGGAATTGCATCGGTCCGACGGAGCCGGCCCGCCCGCGTGTCGCGGTCCCCGCGGTCACTCCGACACGCCGCCCGAATATTAAATCTCTATACGCTCTGTCTTTTTGAGAAGCGAATATTTTCCATGGATATGTATAAAATCTATTGGAAGAACATGGTATTTTTAAACCTATAGCAATATCACAAAAATCGAAATGTTTTTGTTGGTTTATCCTGCTTTGCCTATGTATATAATCTACATATTTTTTGCATAAAATTTTATAGCCTGGGGTGAAATGGAGCGAAATTGGTTACTTACTACCTCGGTACTTCAAATTATTCCAGTATTCGATTGAAAAGAAATCTACGAGACGCGACTAAGCAAAGTTGTCTAAAAAGC